CAATTCAGCAAATCTTCAGCTCTTCATCCTGAATTCAGCTTTTTGATATACAGTTTTTTAATTATTGCAGTTTACGTGATTTTGAACATTTCTCAGCCTCTCCATTCATTTGAATGGGGAGAGCTAGAGTGTGGGTTATGTGACACCCTCTAGAGCTTCTAGAGAGGCTGAGAAATGTCCAAAATGTGCCTTACTATAGTATGTGGGGAAAATAGGGTCCGACCCTCTCCTGAAAGATATGCCTTTCTACATGCCTTTCTATGTCGTAAAAACGGGGTCCGTCCCTCTCACTCAGCCTAACCTGCCACAGAGGTTCTTAGTCTTAGTCATGATCTCCAATCTCAGGCTTTCCTAGATTGTCGGAAAATCAACAATAGTTTCTTTCATCACAACATCCAAAAGCAGCACAAACTTCGGGTGTTTTCTACTTTGTAAAAATGCCCAATAGCAGAAAGCAGCAAAAGTTCTGAATGTGTGTCTGTCTGTTAGCTGGATAGCTTTGTGGTTAACACCACTGATTTTGGTATGGCAGGTCAGGGTCCAGTTCTCTGTCAGGACATGATAAATAGTTTTGCTAAGCTGCGTTAACCAATACCAGAAGCCAGTAAAATTTCCAAATGCATTTCTTTACAGCAGGTGTATAGCTTGGTGGTTAATGCCACTGTCTGTGATATGGCAGGTTGGGGTTTAGTTCCCTGATAGGCCATGATAGGTTATTTTGTGGGTATAATTTAGATCCTTGTGCAGTCTCAATCAATACCAGAAGTCGGTAAAAGTTCCAAATATGTTCCTGTACAGCAGCTGGATGGCGCTACCTGACAAGCAAGGTGCTGTACAAATTCAACCAACCACAAATTCAGGTCCATCTTTCAAAAGCCGATCACGTGACAGCGTCCATCTAGCCATGGTCAATCAAATGGCCAAATCAATCTTTCTACTACCATGTCATGCAATGCCGTCCATCTAGCCGTGGTCAATCAAATGGCCAAATCCATCTTTCTACTACCATGTCATGCAATGCTGTCCATTTTTGACCTTAACAGCGGTCCGCCTGTTTTGTCTCCTTCGTCGCTACAGGAAACTTACTTACTCAACTACAAGAATGGTAAGTAATTAATAGTTTAAAATGTATTTCTAAACACGTATTTCTAATAATTATCCTTCTGACTCCAAACTTTGTCTAACGTTTGATATCACTGAGAAAGTTGCACTTTACAGTAAAACAGGGAAGAATAGGAGACAACCCCCTGCAGTACTAGATATTTGGAGTTTTATAACATACATATGAAGGGTAAATGGGTTGCCTTCATTTGGGATGGATTGCATTTGATTAGCTCTTGGGTCCAGTGTGGCTTGGTCACATTTCATCATCAAGTGTGGGCGACAGCACTGTACCTAAGCAAAAGAGATGGTATGGTTTTACTGCTGTGCACATTGGGGGCAGCTGGGCTGTATTTTTGATAATACTTGCCAATAAAGTTCCTGCTTATGGTTATCCTTCATTCAGTAGGTGGATAGCTCGGTGGTTAACACCGCTGACTGTGATACAGCAGGTTGGGGTTCAGTTCTCTGTCAGTGTATGAAAAACTGTTTTGCTAAGCTACCTTAACCAATACCAGAAACCAGTATAAGTTCCAAATGGGTTCCCATACCACAGATGAATAGCATGGTGGATAACACCACTGACTGTGGTATGGCAGGCTGAAGTTCAGTCCCCTGTCAGGGTATGATGAAAGTAGGATGTAGCAGTAAGGAGGGCAGATGGGTGAGATAGAAGTAGGTAGTGGCAGGGGGGAGAGAGGAGGAGGTAGTGGAGGGGTGCAGGAAGGGAGAGATAGGAAGGGGGTGGGGGAGGGAGAAGATAGGTGTAGGTAGTGGAGATGTACAGGTAGGAAGAGAGGGGTGGGAGGGAGGTGATGGTAGTAGCTGCATTTTCAGCTACTACCTGCTGAAAATATCTACCTGGTCTACCATCAGTGTAGACCAGAGTGACCCCCCCAAAAAACTGACCATGTTTGCAGTCAATTACCTGCTTCATTAGGTAACTGTGTGGACAGCATCCTCCATCATAAATCTATAACACCTTCAAAGGAGATCTCAACAAAGCTTCCACTACTAGATAAGAGGACTAATCCTAGCCATTGATTAGATTATGGTCCATTTGTACATCAACAGTGCTCAGTTCCTTTATGTAGAGTACACCACAGATGGAAAGGGATGGCTGATGTGATCTTATCCTCACCTTTAATGTCCTTCCCAAAGCCCATGGAGGAAGAGACATTCTGGCCTTTAATACTGGACTTTTCCTTCATCACATTGTCATCACAGGACACATCATCTGGTGGGCTGATCTTTTTCTTCTTCTTTGTTTTGTGGCGAGGAGGTAGCTTTTTGGGGAAGGCAAACATTGGAAAGATGACCAGAAGCATGGCTATGGCACACAGGAGAAAACCACTCCACCTGAAAGGAGGAAACAAAGTAAAGGGAGTAGGGCTATATACAGACACAAGTAAACAGGCAGTCATGTAGATGCACACACTTATTTACCAATTGCCAACAAAGCGAGGGTCACTCTGGTCTATACTGACTACAGTTTTGGGGTCGACATAGAAGCCAATGAGGACACCACCCAGCAGGTAGCCAGCTGCAGGTCCCAAGGCTCCCATCACATACATGATGGCTAAAAAAACAAAAACAAATACACAATCAATGAGAAACTTCTTTGCTAACTAGAATTATAAACATAATCAAAATGAACAGCCGGTATTAAAACTGAGGAACAGGACTTTCTTGGTTTGGAAGCCTACAAGTGTTTATACTTTCATCATTTGTGTCTTAACGACTCCATTTCCCCCACATTTAGAACACCTGCAGTGAGATCAGTACAAGCTTTCCACCCACTCTGAAGCATCTGTAACATGCAAGTTCCAGATGTATCACACTGATCTGAAAACACACTTACAGCTCTCCCACTCCAGCAAACCTCAGAGCAAGCAAGGGTCAAACATTAATATTAACCCTCAGGGACTCTAGGCCGTCACTGAGGTGAGCCAATCACACTCAGTCATTTTGCCTCAGGAAAGGGAAAAACTCGTTAAAGTTAGATAAGCTTAGTTGGACAAGTGGAAAAACCTCCTGTGGACACCCAACATAAGGTGTGTGCCAAGGTCATTTACTAGCCATAATTGGGGGCAAACTTTCTGTAATTACACCTGAAACCGTGCCGCTAGCCATGGTGAAGATTAGCTCTTTATGGCAGTTGCGTTCGTGTGCATTAACATGTTAATCTAAATGACAAAATTCCTACCCACAGGTAGCCATTACTGCTGTGTTTTCATTTTCACTGGCAAGATAGCAACACACCACCTGCTTCTCAAATACCATTTTCGTGCATGCCGGCACTAAAATCTCATCATGTGCACAATGTGTGGCTGGTGTTCGTGACAGTCTGCTTAGCAGCCGGCTTAGCTGGTGCACGTCCTGTCAGGTTACATAACTACTGCACACACCTCTCCACAAAGTGTTTATTTAATCAGAATGGACCCTCAAAACCAATTTATCCTCAGTCTGCTTCACCAGACACAAGCTTGCACGCATGAACACAAAACACAAGACGCTGAACAAACAGCGGCCAGTTCCTGGGGCTCCAAATTAATCTGTCTTTTATGTGCATTTCTGTACACATTACAGTATGTACATGTCAGGGAAGAGCTGTAGACAACACATACATTTAGAACCATCTATACACATCTATAGCCATGTACACATCAGCCTGAAGCTCCTAAAAAAAACGACAAGAGGAAACATGAATTTCTTCTCCAAGGCCCTACAGCAGGTGTCTGTCTTTCTCTCTTCTCATGCATATCATATTTAATCATTTTCACTCCTTTCAGCGTCTCATATCCTGATAGTTGGAGAGTCGATTCATTTCAGCAGTCAAACTATGTAACAGTCAAACAATGTAACAGGATATTACCACCCAGAGACAATAAACAATTAATTGGCATGGGTGGCAAGAGCGCCAATCTTTTTATAGCCATCTTGGAATTAAAAATGTCTCACAAAACAGAAGTTAATGAATCAGTCTGTGGTGCACAGCAAAGTAATTCCCATGTATGATGTACAATTTATAGCTTGCCAAATAAAGGCTGGCTACAGCTCCAACTAGACCTTGAGAGTTTAAAGATAAAGGCGAGTCAGAAAGATCAGGACATATCACTTTTATACAGGATAGGGGTTTCATATTCAAATCTCCTGCCTCCTGATTGAGATATTCAAAATGATGCTGCCAACATATATCTGGACAAATCTAAAGACGATCCTGTAGTTGTGAGATGGTTAATAATGGAATGACCACTGAGCTGAACTCAACAACCATTTGAGATGGACATGTGTGCAGTAGAGTGCCACATAAAGAAAAACCTATCAATGGGTCATTCTCATCATCTTAGATTTCTAATTTTGTAGATTTTTGACCCATCGCGTGGCCCAAATATACCATCAAACACTCGTTGGCTTGAGCCAGATGCACCAGGTGCATCCAGCTACTTGCTCATTAGGCAAAGGTTGATCACCATGTCTTTTGGTTGCCCTCCTATCTTCATCCCTCTCCTCAGGCATCTAGGCAGGGACAGCTATTTTTTCTACCCGTAAGGTGACTGTGCGCACACCTGCTTTGCCACTTCAACCCTCATGTAGAAGTGTTCTGCCCGACTGGAGGATGAAAAGGGTTATAAACCATGCCTGACTCATTGCCCTACTCTGCCCGCTTGGCACTTAGCCGGGACAGTCTAGGATCAGTAGGTTGGGATGAAGGAACTGGAGGCCTGTGGCTGGGCTGAAGGGCAGCCAGGGCAGAGCCATCAGGGCACAACAGCAGCACTCCATCACACACACAAATGAACATGCTGTGGTGGCAGATGTACAGGGGCTGCGTGCCAATAAAGAATGCATGGTGCACCACAGGTTCACTCTGCTCAGTTACACAACAGACCTTTGCCAGCAGCATGTGAAGGGCAATACATTATAGGCTTTGTATGACTGTCCATGTGTCCGAATTAGGATATGAAGACTACCACCAGCAAGCTGCCGATTTCAAAGATGACGTGGTGAGAGCTCTTCCACTGCAGTTACGGGCCTTTTGTTATACAAAGTCAGCATTTAAACCACCTAAATGGCTACCCAGTGTGACTTCAATATGTTGTGGTAGTTTTGTGCTGACTTTATTCTATGCATTAGACATGCAAGAAAAAATACAAGGATGAAGTCACAGTAGGTGCAAGTTAACATATTACAGGCAGAATTCAATGTCAGCAACAAGATACGAGGTTTACGAAGCCGTTTATTGCACAGACCTGGAAAAATACAAATACACACGAGTGTTGAAAGGAACTCAAGAAGTGATGATGCATCGATTACAACTCAGTGATTTTAATAACAACAAAGATCGGCGTCTCTCGGCATCTGATATACACAAACGGATCCGCACAGATGTGACAGGGGAGGTGCAACAGCATCAAGGGTAAGAGTGAAGGAGGGATAAGGCTGAAGAGGTTTATAGGGCATCACTGAGCCCAGCTTAGGGTTTCCTCTGGCAGAGGAAAGAGAAAAGAAAAAGATAAAGAAAAGCAAATTAGTTGAGAAGAAAAATAAAATCTAGGAGGGAAGCAAGAGTGAGAAATGATAGGACATGCAGAATAGGAAGGAGAGGCAAAGAGAGGCACTGGGCTGCTGTAGTGACTGATACTGCTGTGTAACAGTGATAAAGCTTGCTCAGCAACATCCTACTCATAGTTAACTTTCAGGGACCAGTGCTGCTCTGTTGTCTCCACTTTGCCTCCTCCACACTTTATAAGAGCTCGGCTGTATTAATGAGCTGAACTGACTCATTCAGAGCTTGAACAATGAAATACCTGGAGAGGCATGAATCAGAAGCATGATTACAAGAAGGTGGATGCTGATGTTTTTGAAGTGGTGCCATTATCTTGGCTGCAGAGCGAGTGTATTGTATCTTAAAGTGTTTCTGTAATTTTGCCAATCCTTTGCAGCTACAACTAATGATTGGTCATTGCAGATTAATTGCCGATTACTTTGTCTCATCTTTATCACTTCAGAAAACTAATTGCCCATGTGAAGTCTTCTTTTTTGTCCAGCCAACAGTCCTAAACCAGATATTCAATTTACAATTATATAAAATGGAGAAACAATGCAAATCTTTAGAAACATTTGTTTATCATTTGCCAAACGGTTGATCCACAGCACCCAGCTGTTTCCATAGCCACCTTGGCTCTAAATGGAATTTCATGCATAACAATAAAATGGAGCTCCATCCCCATCCCCTGTCCTCCCATGACCTTCTGTTGTCCACACCCCTCACCCCTGAGTACAAAAGCCAGACCAACAGGGAATAAGCAGAATGCAGAGCAACTGGACACCGCGCCTAACGAAGTAGCTCCCTGATGGTCAAACTCATTAACACAGATTAAAGATTTGACTCAGTGTCAGAGCACTGGGGGTTATAAGGTTGAGGCTACAAATCACACAACAAAAGAATCTGTGTGGGACTGCACAGTTATCACATCTGCAACGTGAGACACAGTGAAACAAAACTGAAGACAATAATGGAGTGTTTATGTGCAAGTCTCATTTGTTTGGGGTTTCGTTCTTTATGTGCAGCAAGTCTCATTTGTTTGGGGTTTCGTTGTCACTGTACTGCAGTAAAGGCCGCATCGATACGAGACTGGCTCCATACCTTCCCTTAATTGTGTGACGCTCCACATGGCTATTAGCCTAAATCTCACTCAGCCCTCAAACAATGAATGGAAGTGATGGAGGACAGGCACAACACAATCTTGGATATGTATTCTGTGCGATATGCTGCAGCTGATGAAATCACACCGTCTTCTCAGAGCTGCGTCACATTGATTTCTACAGCATTATGCATCACACATTTCCTCTGACCTAGTATACATTTTTTTCCCCCCCACACACCAGCTGCATGTCCAAAAAAAAAAAAAAAAATCTATGTGAGCTATCTTGTTAATGAAATAGGGAAATGGCAACACTGTTATGACAACCTGCTGACATAGCAATGTCTTCTTACAAGTCCTAACCTTACAGTTTGACCACAAGGGCATGCACAGGGACTACACATCCTAACAAGGGTCGTGGGGGGGCTGGAGCCAACCCCAGCTGACACTGGGTGAAAGGCAGGGTCCACCATGGACAGAAACAAAGAGCCATTTTCTGCCATGTATTAAGCCATCAGATATTCTCTCTGCGATTTACTAAAGAAGACAATATTAGATCATTAAACCCTCGAGATGACTTCTATTCTTCATGCATTTATTTTATTGTTGGACCACCAGACCACCTGCTTTGAAAGCAGAAATGATCCCAGTAGATGAAAAGATGATCATTTAACCTATCAGTGCATATTTTACATGTTTATATTCAGGTAAACTTCAACAGTTCTAGCAGTGCACAGAAGGTCTACACAGTGCTGGTGCCCCACAGGCACAACACTGTGTGCGTGTGTGTGTGTAAAAGGCTAATTAAGTTTAGATCATGCCTTGTAACATAGAACCACATACAGTTAAGATGCAGAATATTTTAATGGATTAACAGTAAAGAACTTTGATCCTGTATTCAGTACAGACTGGTACAGACCAAATACCTTCA